AAGAAAAATATAAACATAAAAATGGATTCCTCATGCCAAAAAAAACACCTTATAGCGTGTTTTTGTAAAAAATTTAAGCACATCTTTACGACACTACAGCAAAATGCTAAGACACCTTTTTTCGCGATTTTACAAACTCCAAATTTATTTAGATCCATGGTTTCTTCGGCGAATTTGCTTAGAATTACACGCGAAATCCGTCTGTGCTATACGCACATGGTCGAGAAAATCTGTCATACAACGTGGACCTCCCTAATGTACATAGTAGGTATATACCTTAATTTTTAACCGCAGGCCCTGGATTTTTTTTTACATAATTATGATATTAGCATTTGCGGGGAGTTTTTTTTTTTATTGCAGTTTAATGAAAGAGATTTGCTTAAATAAAAGCATGTCAAATCATAATTGCTTCATTTACTAAATGCATACCTTCACAACAACATACACAACATTATTTGAAAATTTATACGCAAAAAATATTTTTAAAGCACAGCGAAGTACGCTGGGTATTTTCTAGTTTCTAATAAAGTAAACTTCTATGTAGTGTGAGACAATATCATCTCATTATTTTGTTTAAGTTTTAAATTCTATGCTTTAGAAAAGACGTTTATATACCTACACACAAATATTTGTTATCCCTGCCTTGTAGTATGTATTTGTGTACATGTACATCATAAGTTTCTCGTCCAAATATTGCTTGCAAATACTGCCCACGCATACACACCCACAATCTCTTTCACCTTCGTTTCATTTTATTACCATGTTTTGGTGAGACTCCTACGAATTCCACCTACGACATGTCCAACCGTTTCTAAAAACAAATCAGTAATCAGTAAGCGAAACGTTATGCGTCGTTTGAATGGCTTGATACATACATAGCTGTCAAATTCAACTTTCAAATGTGCACACAGCATGTTGTCTCAAATGATCGGAAAATGCGTGAACAAAAAATTGCCAAAAATCTACGGTAAATCCTAGCTACTTCAAACTTTATTGCACTAAAGTTGAATTGGCCACAAAACTGCACACTCGAAAAAATTCAAAAAAAAAATCTGATTAGAAATTTCAAATTTGATGAAGATTTGTTGAAATTCGTCGAATATTTATAAATGGTCTACAAAGTTTGAAATTTTGATTAACTAGTAAGATATATTTTCATTAAGAAAATTATAAAAATAAACAATAATAAACAAAGAAAAAAGCCAAATCTTACTAAAATGTCTCTTCCCTATTTTTATTTTCGCCCCTGTACGTACAAGTATTTTATGTCAGAACATTCAACTTTAAAGCCTTTGCCTAGTGGTGTATAAAAGATCCACCAAATTTGCTATGCCTAACAACGTCTTAAAGCTGTAAAAGGGGCCGCTCAAAAATAATCTTAGGTCTCTTAATTTTGCTGTACGGCACTCATTGCTAAATTCTACGCAGCTTCTTACGTTTTGAAGTACTATGTGCATTTTTACTTTTACATATCGCAAAAGGAATTCTTTTTTTTTGGAATTTTCGCTAATATTCGCTTCATACCAGCGAGTCGCACAATCATATAACGCATGTAATAAATATATGCAGATGTTTTTGTGCCCACATTTGTTTGCTATTTTCTACTTTAGCTCATATTTCAACGACTAACGTGCTGTAAATCTCAAAATAATGCGTGCGAAAGCAATTTTGTGGGAACTTTAATACTTTGCAGGACATTCAGAATATTTATTGGCAGCGCTGGCTTGAATTATTGCTAAAGATTTTAAATTAATAGCCGGTATAATAAGATTTACAAATAAATAGTTACATCTGTAAATTGTAAAAAAAAACATTGCTCTTAGGGCTACAGATTAAACTACCCATGAAATTTCACACAATCGTCAATATTGACTTAAGGTGATTTTGAAATCCATCAGCATACCAAAAGATATGTGTCTATATCTCTGGGCCGTCTACTTGACGAACTATTTATGTTGTTAGGTGAATTGATATACAGTATATTTTGCTTAGCTGCACATCCTTCCTTGCACGAAAAACTTGTGCACTTAACCGAAAAAGGCACTTAAGCGAATTTTTTTTATTACTTCAATGAGGAAGGTATCCAAATCCCTATGAAACCAAATAATGGAGATGCACTTACCTCGTAGAAATTACTGCAAGCGAATTTTTTATTTTTTTTTTTTTTTTAACTACATAAATTTATAGCCATTTTCGTTGTTCTGCGAAATGAACAAAATAAATAAAAAGTTGTAAAATTAGGTAATTGTAGGGCCAGTACAGGTAAACGTAATACTTTTTTTGATAATTGATACTAGTCGCACAATTTTTAAGGCAGGTATCGCCAATGTGCAGGTATGCTAAATGCATCTATCGGAGCAGTTTCCTTATAAATGTTAAAAATAATGCCTCTGATGCGCATTTTAGGGTAGGTATCTTAAATGTGCACTTAAGCATAGAGGCAGCAAAGCAAAATATACTGTACGTGCATTAGGCAGTATGCATAATACCGAAGCAAATGCTTTTTCTTAAAATTTCTGACATTTTAGTCGATTTGGTCAAAAAAAATTTGAGTGAAATGCATGAAATTTTGAGTAAAAGCAATTGCTTAGATTTTATGCATACGACCCATTATATTAAATAATTAAATAATTCTAACAGAGTAGTTCTGGCAACTGTCTTTTAACTCACCACAGTCAAACGTTATTCTGTAGCCTTAGAAATCACATTATTAAAAATTTCATACAATAAAAAAAAAAATTGTTTCTATTTAAAACAACAAACTAAAACTTAAAAGAAAATTAAGTTAAGAAAAGCAAAAAAAAAATTATTAACAAAATTTGAATAAAATTTTTTTCGGGGTGAAATATTTTTTTTTACATTCTTTATCGAAAAAAAGAAGATACCAATTTTTTTTCGTCATGATATTCGAAAATCTCGAAAAGCAAATTTCTGAAATTTTGAACTCACAGAGAAGTATCTTTATTTTTAGTTGTTTGCAGTTAACACGTTCGCTACCAAGCATATTTAAGCAGTGCATCATCACAGACCAGGTAGAATTTTATTTGTTTTTGTCTAGTGTTGTGTGTTTCGGTTGTCATTGGGTATCTCAGCAACTCAAATTCATAATAAAAGTAATTGTTTTACGCCTGACACATATTTGTGACGCTGGTCTATAGAGACATTTTTCGGTATAGACAAGGGTCACATTTATGTGATAGGCTAAACTTCAGGGCTTTAAATAACTCAGTTTTATTCAAAAATACAAAGCTTACATAAATTATTAAATTTGTTTCTTAGCTGAAGTTTTAGGAGGATTTCCACCTGCTAGAAATGTCGAATTCAGTTTACTTATACACAAGTTACACGAAATATCAAAATATGGATGTCAAACGAAGGAGTGTTAAGAAATCTTTAGTTTGAACTTTAAGAATATTTTTTAGGTGTTGGAGGAGGGTCGCCATCTGTTTAAAAAGTTAAATTCAAAATATTTTATAAGTTAAATGAATTATTAAAATATGGATATCAATCGAAGGGGGGTTTGAAAAATGTTTATTTCTGAACTAGATTTTGCGGGGTTGCCACATGTTTGAAAATTGAAATTCCACATAATTCATCAGTTAAATAAAATATGTATCGCAGTGTCCGGCGAAGAAGAGTTAACAATGATTAAGCTTGAAAGTACTTTGGAATAGGGCTGCCACCTGTTTGAAAGGTCTAACACAATTAACTAATTCAAAAAGTATTTGAAATATAAAGACATTGCAGTCAAACGAAATAATACTAAGAAATCTTTAGTGTAAAGATTTCGAATGTTTCAAGAGAGTTACCACGTGTTAAGAAAATTTTAATTTGAGAATACTTTTGAAAAGGAATCTCAAAAATGAGAGGCCAAATTAGAAGCTTTAGCCTGTAGATGTATGATAATGTTTTATTTTTTTAGTTAAGAACTCTTTTCATTGGTATAGGGTGATTTGAAATTCGATCAAAATAAAAATATGCACTATGCGATCTATTATAACTCTGACTAACATTTGGAATATTTTTTAAGTTTTTGAAATTCAATTTTTGGCGTGTGAACGCCATGCGGGTTCACTAGTTATTTTTAATTTTTCAAAACACATTAACAAAATTTTAAATACATATTTTTTTCTCTGTTACATGTCATCAATAAAAGGTTAATGACTTCGAATGGACTAACAAAAGACGTTCAGGGTTAAAAACTCTATCAGCCGTTTTCAGTTTGGCCTTGGCGTGAATTATGGCCTCAAATGCTCGATACTCTGGTATTTTTAGAACCTCCGAGTCATGCCCTGCTCTAGTTTTAACCACCGGCTGATGTATTTGAATAGGATAAAATTTACTTACATTGTGCTTTCGAATAAAAAAAGAAATTTTTAAATTTCATATTTTATTTTTTTTTTATTATTTTTTTAAATTTCAAATTGTCGGTATCACATCGAATAGTTGGCATATTTTTAAAATAGCAAATATCCACATAAATTAGCATAAAAAGATACATACATATATGCATTTATAAAAATTCGTAAACAACACTTTGAGTTTTAGCATTTTTATTATTATCTAAGCTTCATAGTTTCATTTCGTTTTGCTTTCTTTTATTTCAATTTATTTCATTTAAATTTGTTTTTATATATTTTTTTTGTTTTTACTTATTTTTTCATTTTATTTCATTTTTAAATTTCATTCTTGAAAACCCCCAAATGACATTTGGCTCGCGGGTAGAAAACCATAAGGTTTCTTAACGATATAATATTTCTGCAAATCGAAATTCAAACAGTTATCGCTAAATTCACCAAACCAAAACGTGCACTAAAAATCATACAAACTTTTTAATTTTATTGCTTGAATAACGCCAACTGCGCCATGCAAATGCGATTTGTTGAAATAATTGCATATTGTCAAAACCAGCACACTTCCAGGAACCAATTTTCCAGCTGGTACAGCAAATACTTCGCACATATGTATGTACATACATCTACATACATATGTGTGTATGTTTGAACCTCCAGTAGTATCTTCAGCGCTTCCGTCGACCGCGACGACGCCCATTCGCTTTTCACAGCCTTTCGCAATCGGCGCATGTGCTGCTCACTGGCTTGTTTCAATTTCCAGGTTACCATATGATATGGAATTTATATAGCTCTGTCACCGAGTTACAATGCCCAGCTATCCTAGAAATTGGAAAGCAAAGAAACACACAAACAAACGTTTTTATATACATACAAACATATAATACTCTAAAAATCGCTAAGCTTTTGTCTTATTACTCTCTATGTATGTATTGTTGTATGCTTACTTTTCCCTTTCGTTGTCAGCGCAAAACCAGGACCACCCGTTACCCCACCGGCTCCATTACTGCCACGTGAACTGGAATTTGGCTCTTCGGATGTTGGTGTAGATTGCATCAACGTATCTAAGTCATCATCGCATTCAATCACATCAGGATATAGCGGTCTGAAGTTATTTCGCCGCCATTGTGGTACATCCGTGCAACCGCTACCCGTATTTCTGCCTGCCGCCATGCCATTATTATTACTATTGCACTCATTCAAACGCACTGTTCCCCCATTCTCAATTGTGTAAGTTATCATGTTGTAAGTGTCATTGTTGCCGTTGCTTCTGTCCTTGCGCAAGTTTGCGTAACGATATGTGTAGTAAATATTTCCACAACCACCGCCGCCACCGCCACCACCCCCGCCACCAGCTGCAGCTTCTGCATATAAATTGTTGCGTATACGCATCGACGAATTGGCAAAGTTCGAACGTATCGATGTGGCACGTGTATGCATTGAGAGCGTACGCTCATGTGCAGTCAAGTTGGTGCGAAATTTGCAAAAGCAGGCAGAAAAACGCTTATTGAATTCTCGCTTGAATTTTTCCTGCAATGAAATTTATATTGAGCTGTGTTAAGAGAAGTCAGCGGGATTGAAATTAGATTTCTACATTTATTTGGAAAAAATGTGTATGTACAAAATTTGCAATCAGAGGACGTTTTCCCTTTATCATTTCCATTTGAAGTCCATTTGAAAAATAAAATTTTAAGTTGTGGAAATTATGGATGGTCAAAATTTCAAAAATTAAGAGAAATATGGGTTTTTATATAACGCGATGAAAAATCCCAACAAGCTGAGTCCGACCATAGGTTAATAATAAAGGCCTATCTTCTTCTCAAGATCATATTCGATCTTTGAAATCGAATTAAAAAAAAGTCATTCAAAAACTCATAAATTTACAAAATCGTATTTTTTGACCTAAATCGGCAAGTCGCGAGCTCTAAATAACCTTTAAAAGTTCTGTAAAAATAGGCGATAATATTTCTCATAAAAACAAATAAAATTAGGGGATAGGGTCTTGAAATTTCCAAAAAAAAAA